CACTGCGGGCGGATAAATCCGTGATTTATATCTGAAGGGTAATGTTGGCCGCCGATGTTGTACCTGCATTATCTTCCCATCTTTGTTACGGTACAGCGTGTACAGCTGATAGGCTTTGAAGTTGTGAGGAGCGGTGGATGCGTGAGGGGACCCTCCCTGCAGTTTACTTTTCCTCCGGTGGAAGGCTTCGCTGCGCCTCATCTCTCGGCGACGTAGGGGGTCAGATAAGACTGGCTGGAGGGAGAACAATGTTTAGGATGAGAATTGACTACAAACCCCCGATGTCGGGGACTGATATTGACTCACTCGTCCACGTCCTGGGCGCAGCTATGTTGACTTTGTTAGCCACGCCAGGGTACTTACTTTTTCTTTAAGCCTTCTGTTCTTTCTCCTCTTGGTGTTTGACTTGGTTATAGCTGCTCGCTCGCTGCTCTGCGTGTCGTCTGCAGCAGAAGCGCTGTCCTGTTCCAGGAAACAGGAAAAAGGAAAGAGTTGTTGGCAGTGCAGTGTTTTCCAGGAAACATTTGGCACACGTTTGTTTTACTGGCTTAAAAAAAAGATCAACGTTTTATATTATCCTGTTAATGAATAATAAAAAATGAATACGTTCACATGGGTTTTTAATTTTAATATAGTTAAGCAGAGGTTAATTTCACGTAACCCGCTAATTGTTCTCAAATTACAGCAATTAAACCTGCTTTATTTTGTAACCACAACAGATGTGATTAGAATTGCAGTACAGACTAACAAAAGAATTGAAACTAAAATAAAAAAAAATTCAAAATTAAATCATTAGTAACATCTAGATCAGGAATGGCCAAACTAAGGCCCGGGGTCCAGATGTGGCCCATTCAGCTTCTTAATCCGGCCCGCCAGACTATTTCAAATTATATAATTTATTTATATTATCATTATACTTCTGCCTTTTCCCTGCAATACCCACATTTCCCCAATAGATGGCGTCGAAAATGATAAAATAATTTTAGCATTTTAGCCTTTATGCATGACTTTTGCATGTCATTTAGGATCTAGCTATCTATCTGCTCCTGACCCGGCCCCCCCGTTCAATTTTAGGACAATTGTGGCCCACGAGTCAAAAAGTTTGTCCACGCCTTCAAGACTCTTGGGTTAGGGAACGTCTATGTGAAGTCCTCACAACTCATGAAAACCAGACTGTGTGTGTGTGTTTTAGGAGGGGACACGGGAAGTTTTGATTTTATGGTGTGGTGATAAATGTAGAACTTTACGATGGATATTTCCCCAGTGGAAATTTAAAGACTTTTCAGAACTTTTAAGGTATAAATATTTTAACAAATCTTGCTCCTATATTTACCTTATTGGGCAGTAATTCATCTCTTGGCACTGACTGAGCTCTGCCTTCAGCTTTCAGCTTGTCCCTTCTGTTTCTCACACTCCTGCCGCGCACGAAACTCTGCACCTGATAACAGAGGAATGCGCGTTGGTTATTACAACTGCGATCGTGACCCGAAGCGCTCACGCGTTCACATCGTTCATTCACCGCTAACTGCAGCAGGAAACAGGTGTCATTCGATAACACTCAGGTTAGGTCACTGCGCTTCCCGATGTGGGCGTTGACTCGCTGTCATGGTTTACAGGAAGACACCGGACGGAGCCCTCGGGACACGGGCACAAGTATCAGTTTGTACAGTTTTTGTCTTTACTGCTAGGATGTCGAGTCCGGCTCAGTTGCGGAAAGATGAGGGGATTAACTGACACCTGAGACTAATCAGTTGTTGAATTCATGTCAAAACTTGTTTATGAGCCTGACTCTATATCAAATGAATGTACATAAAAAACATTTATATTTAGATTTATTATCCGTTAATATACCAAACTAGATACTGAATTTACTATTAAGAGACAACTTTTGTAGGACTGCCAACTAATATAATGTAAAATGTGTAAAAAAAAAAAATTTGCATATAATAATATGCAAATAATAACGCATAGAATAAATAATTTCATTTTCTGGTTTAATAGAATATTATGTTACATATTCAGAATTGTGCTTTGGTTTCACCTGAGGAGCTTTGGTCAAGAGCAGAGCCACCTCTGGGTTGTTGTGTTCTCGTGCCTTATCCAGAGCCGTTTCACCTGCCTGTGGAAATAAACCAGAAGAATGATGTAATGTCAATTCTAGGGGACGGCTCGATGCAACTTTTTCATATCTGATACCGATATTGCAACCTGGCCTGTCGTTTTTTTTAAGTTGAGCATTTGGGCTTAGGTATCAGATCAGATCAGATCCTGAAATCTGTCCAATATCGGACTATATACTAATCGTCAATACTGGTCTGGATCGAGCCATCGAGTTCTAAGACACATGTGTAACAGTCCCACAATTCCAAGGGTCACTCTTCAAAGTAGATACCATATAGCCCAGACCAATGTTTTCTACTTTTCCACCTGCAGTAAAATTCATGTATAATATGATACTCCTACTCCTATAAATTCTGCAGTACGGTACCCGGCTCATTTTACTGCAGGCTGCTACAACAGCAGCTGGGGATGACAGTTGAGTCACAAAGACATTTGCTGGTTATCCATGCTGCAGTGGTTGTTGTTGGAGCCGTTTATTTACTTTTGGGGGGGTTGACATGCATGGCTTGACATGATTTGCTTCGCTCATGTCATTTTTTTTTTTTGCTTGTTTTTTGTCTGTCTGTTAAAACACACCCCCCTTGATTTGTCAGACCAAAATAGAGAACGTTGTTTTTTTTTTCTGTTTCTAGGGATCAAACATGAGGACGACACACATGGCTGACAGGCTTTCGTGGAGCAGTTTATGTGCAGGGCTGTGGATGTAGCCTGGGTGGAGGTAAGAAAATGTTGCATTGCTTGACATTACAACTGCTGAAAGGCACTACTGTTATTTTCCACAAGTCAGAATTTAAGAAGGTTCTAAAATTATGTTTAGTGCATATGTGTCAAACTCAAGGCCCCGGGGGCCAAATGTGGCCCACCAAGCCGTTTTATGTGGCCCGAGGGAGCAGTAGTACCACCTGTTACTACAGACCGGTACCAAGGCGCTGAGCATTGAAGGATCATTCAAATATCAAAATAAAACATATTTTAGACTCTATTCTGTTTGTATCAGTCTAAATGACCTATTATTTTAAAATACTGGCAGATTATCTTATAAATAAAGAAAGTAAATGGATATGACAGCCCGGTACCAAATGACCTATGGACTGGTACTGGTCCGCGGACCAGGTGTTGGGCACCCCCGATCTATACAGTCTTTCATTAATAACCGGCCCCTCAAGGGGAACTGTACTGCTGGTGTGGTCCCCTGGTGGAAATGAGTTTGACACACCTGGTTTAGTGAGTACATTTGTGGATTTGACCTGACTGTGAAAATTTAGTTTCACATTTACAGAACAACTCCCGTAATAGACGTAATAAAACTGCTCTCCTGGCTAATGTTGACTAATTCAGTAGTCAGTGGTCGTTTTTTTTTGCAGTAAAATTACTTAACTTGTACTTTGTAGTATAATAAATAATCATCCACAGTCTGCCTTACTGTAACTGACTTCTTTAAACACACAGTCAAAGTAAAGACTGCAGCTTAGGGAAAACTGGGGATGGAAAAAAAGAGGGATTTCTAATGCATAAAACATATACATGGATGTGTAGATAAAGATAAGATCGGAGAGAGAGCCAGGGGACACACACTTCCAATGAGCAAGAATAATGTTGTCAGAGACTGTTCTTAACTCACATTGTTGCAGACGCGGCTGTCTCCACCCGCCTCTAGCAGGAGGCGTACTGTTTTCTTATGATTTAGAGCAGCAGCCAAGTGTAGCGGCGTGTCCCCGACCTGTGCACGAACAAATACACATAAGCGAAAAACAAAAGTTAATGCTGTGATTACTTTTTTTTTTTTTTTTTTTTTGTTACTCCACGCCAGCCGTATTACAAAGTGAAATTTTAATAGAACAACAACAGTAAACAGAACTTTCTCTTCTCCAACTTGTGCATAATACATAAGAATACAGTCAAAAACTTCTACTTTAATTGGAGACTCACCAAGTTCTTCTCTGACACGGAGCAAAAGGCTCCCAGCAGGATGCGAATGATGGTAACGTGGTTGTAGCGGGATGCCACGTGCAGACATGTGTCACCCAACTGAAATCGTAAGAAATTGTACTTATTGATCATGCTTATTGAGTGGATTTAACTCATAACCAAATGACCTATAAATAACATTTAGTCCATGTTTGATATTCATCGTTATTCATTCATATTTAATTAAATTGTGATTTCACAAAATTATGAGATTTACAAATTTCAAAATGAATCAAGATGGCCGGATTGAGGACCCAAGCGGTCCGGTTTTGGCCCACGTGCCCTATGTTTGACACTCCTCGTTTATGCTAATGGAGAAGTAAGAAGTAAAAATGTTTTTTAACAAACATCACACTGGTTTATTTGTTTTATAAATACCCATTACTCACGATGCTGAAGCTAAATAACATTTAAGCATGTTGAAAAAAAAAGTGCATTAAATTGTGAAAAGCAAATGACTCTCACTTGTGCACATCGAGTTAATCGATAATGGCTTTGAATGGTGACAAACTGTCACAAGTAACAGTTTACGACTTACAAATGAACGCGTTTGACTTAGAAATCAATACAACTCGTTTAAAACAATTGAAAAGGGACCGGGGGCCTCCCGACGCACATCTGTTATAACAAAAAGTGAGCAAGTCAATAAGCAACCGTTCGACCTTCCGTTCTTACACACACACAGCTCAAGGATCCTGTCACAAAGTTATATGAATGTGAGGTTCAAATAAAAACTCACATGGTTCTTGCTATCAGGCCTGGATCCACCCAGCAACAGAACCTTGGCACTCTGAGCGTGACCATTCTGACACGCAAGATGAAGAGCCGTGTTTCCTGCCTGTGAGAGAAAGACTTTTAACTCTTTGTTTAGTGTTGCAAATAAGTACAGGTACAGAAAAAACATCACAGACATGAAATGTTTGTGCTTTTTTTTTTTTTTACTTTCAAAATTCGTCAGTCGACCTGAATTGAACCCCCAAAGCGGGTCGATTTTGGTCCGCGGGCCGTATGTTTGACATCCCTGGCCTAGCGTATGCATTTAATAGGAAAACTTTTTCATTTTTGTAAACAGATGCTTTGGTTTTGCAATGATTCCAATGCAACATAATCAGAGTAAAAACATGATTTACAATGCAACATAATCAGAGTAAAAACATTATTTAAGTTTTTTTTTTATTTATCTCTCTTTAGATCGTCATGATCATGTGACCAGACCAGATAGAACCAATAGGCCATGTTTCTGCCCAATAGTTTTATGTTGTAAAAAAAATACTACACAACCAAACACCAAAACAACAAGAACCGAAAAAATACCAGGAAACTAAAAAAAAAAAAACCAAAACGTTAGTATCACCTTGTTTTTTGCGTGGACGTTGGCTCCAGCTTTTACCAGCAGTTTGACAGACTGACTAAAGCCATGCCAGGACACTTCATGCAGAGCCGTGTTGCCATCCTATCAGGACAAAAGAAGGCTCAATAATAGCGAACAATACCTTAACAAATGACAATTGACATTCTAATTACTCTCTTTAAAAAAAAAAAAACCTATAGGATTTCACTACAATTACTGTATGTTGTTCCCACAGTTAGTCGATATTTGTTTCCACTTGCTTTTTCTTGGACATTATTTGAAAACAAATGTCTCTTCATGAAGCTAATGGCATGAACATTATAGTTAGCTGTACACCATGCATACAACTGAATCTTAGAAAAAGCACTTTCTTTGTAAACCGCGACTTTTAACAGACTTCCAAACTTAGTGATAGAGAACTTAGGACATTACAGACAGATGTTTAAATGTCCTGTGAAACCTTTGTTGTTCTGACTGACTGTGGAAGAGGTGCCATTATGTTTTTTTTTTTATTATGTGTGTGTTTGTTTCTGTCGTAGTGCACCTTATCCTGTCTGTCCTGGGCACATCCTTCCTGGATGAGCGCATTGATGACATCACTGTTACCCACCACAGCAGCCCGGTGTAACGCAGTCTGCTCTCCCTACGGGATGACAGAGGAACACACACACGAAAAGCTTACAAGAACTAGAACGCAAAGAATGATGCTTGGAGTGAATAATGAAAGAAAAGGTAGAAAATTATCAACACACCGGTTCTGATTACATCAATTATACCACTTTTTTTTTTTAATCGAACTCTATTCATTTTGTTAAGGACTTGGAATTGACAGTACAACTGAGACAGTCCATTTAATCATTTTTGGCCAAAAAAAAACCCTAGAAGAAATAGTTCAGTGAATGGGAGATTTGGTTTTTTTTACTTCGCATTCATCCATTTCTATTTAGAACGTCAGCTCATAATGGAAAAATCAAGAAGGAGGTGTTAAATTTCTCATCTATGTAACATTCTACAACAGTATTTTAAGATTTTTAAAAACACATCAATTAAGTTAAACCTAAATCTATAACAGCATCTTATTGTTTGACAAAAAAAAAAAAAGCTGTATTTTTACTTACACCAATCATTTTAAAGTATAAGAGAATAATGTGTGTTTCAAAGGAATAGATAAAAATCTTGTTGTTCTACATTCCGTAAGAGGTACTTTAAGGTCGAGGAAGCGAATATTCCACTTGAAACCCAACCACTAGATGTTGCTAAATATAGGTAAAAAAAAAAACAAAAACAACCTGTCTTTAGGTTTTGAGCTGTTTTTGTTTTTTTTATTTTAAGAATATTATCTTGTATCGTTCAAAAAAATGAGCCCTGACAAGCTCTTCTCCTTCTCAGTACTTCCATCATTGAGCAAGACATATATCACAAAGAACCAAATCCCCCCCAAAACAAACTATGTCTTTACCATTTGCAATTATGTAATTTCACCCAAATCCCAACGTATTTCTCTAGATGGAAGCAGCAAATCCAGTTCAGGAGTTATATAAACCACAGCAGCTGGTTTAGGGTCCACTGTGGTTCATAAAACTGGGTGAAAGCAGAGACTACAAACGCCCAAAGGAGGAAAGGTCCAATTCAGATTTATATTCTGTTACAAATTAGCCAGCGTTGACAGTGAAATAGCTCAGCGAGAAGAGGAGAAGCAGGAGGAACAGAAGAGGGGAGAATTACTCCAGAACTGAGCCACATGCAGCAGCAGGAACATAAAAAAACGAATGGCTTTGATTAAAAAGGACGGTTTGAGAGAACAAGTTTCCAGTGGCTCAATAGGAGCAGGTTGGGCTAACCTCCTTCACTCTCCCAGCCCTCCTCCACTTTCTTCTCCCCTCTTCCTCCTTCTCTTTTGCCTCCTGTCTGAGTCTGCACCTCCTGCTCCCTCCAGTCCTGGAAGATGTACTGCAACCTGTCCTTGAGCTCACGGACCAAACGGAGTAAATTGGGTCGGGCCCCAGATCTGAGTTACTGCTTTTCTCTGTGTGGAGGGAGGGCCACCCCGCAGGTGGGAAGTCCAAAAAGTCCCACTCAAGGTCAGTGGAGTTCATCACAACAACAGTTGAACCCAAAAAGGAAGAATTAAAAAAATGGTTTTTTTTTTCCCCCCACACAATTCCCAGGTGTAAATGGCAAAAAAAAAAAAAAAAGGAGCAGCTGCTGGTGACCATCAACCAGGACTGCAGCGCAAGTTAAGGATGAAAGAAAGATTGGGCCACGTCCAAGGAGCAGACAAATAGATCGGCTACTCACATCGTCTTGGATGTCCAGGTCACATCCAGCTTTGAGGAGGATATGCACCACCTCGGTGTGGCCCTTATAGGCAGCCAAGTGTAGTGGGCTTCTGCCATACTGTGGAAAAAAAAACACACAAACTCAACCTGCAGGAAAACAAACCAGGTACAAAGTACACATAGTATAAAGCAGGGTGTCAAAACATATGGCCCGGGGGCCAAAACAGGCCCACTAGGGGGTTCAATCCGGCCCGCTTGGTGAATTTTGGAAGTGAAAAAAATGGACAAATACATCATGTTGATGTTTTTTCAAATTATATTTCATTAAATATGAATATTTTTTAATGTCCTTGTACTTGTTTTGCAGGAAAACAAAGGGAGAAACATGGACTTCCTGTTGCTGGAGCTGGAGTTTACAAAGTATTTACAGATTAGAAAGTATTTTGTGAGTCAACTTGAGGCGTTGAAAATTATTTTTAATATCAGGCTTAAGAGGACAATGCCCCTTTTTTTTTGTTATGTAAACAGGTCATTGGTTCAGGTCATCCTCTTTTGAGGATTCAAACTATTTGAGGATCTGATACCAAAATATTGCTCAACCTGTAATTAGCAAGTGCATTTCACCAGGTAGAAAAAGAAAGTGACATGAAGTTGTGACCACCAGTGTTTTCGACCATCGCTTTAGGCACTTTTTGATGCCCAAAATCACAACAAACTTATAACTACAAATTCTACAAGGTCAGATCAAATCAAATAACTAATTTTCCAGGGTTGCTCAGTCATGCCATGAGTTAACGACTGAAGTAGTACAATTAAAAATACATTATATGAAATAATTAATAAATGATTAGAGCAAAAAAGTTACCCTGAAAATAGCAAAATTATGATATTGGAAGAAAAAAAAAGTCCAGGGACATGGATGTAATTTTTGGATAGTAAGACGATCAACAACGTTCCCAACGCGGCCCTACATTCTTAGCATAACATCCAAGATAATTAGCTGTGCTGAGCTCCACGCGGAGGAATGACAAGCCAGGAAGTCAAGAGTCAAGGTAAACATTCAAACCATAAAACACTTTTTCCGACGGTGCCTTTAAATCTGTAATTACACCAACAAAATGCACTTTAATTATAGATCAAATGCGTTTCCCACAATACAGCACAAACCACATCACACTCGCCGTAGAATTGGAGGTGTGTGCTTCTTTTTGGGGAGTGGCTCGGCTCAGCTCCGCATTCATCAGGCCCAGGCATTGGGTTACGTTAGGACTACTTTGGAAGGAAGCCACTGAGAGAGCTCAGGTAAACAGAGCAGGCCTGGAGCTATGAGGGAGACTCTGTTGTCGTCTCCAGAGTGAGGCTTTTTTCTTTTTTTTTTTTTTTTTTCGGGCAGTTGTGATCTTTTCTTCTAATGCTCCTTTTCCCACAGACAATAATCAACGGGCATTTCTGACAGATATTAGGGCTGTTTGAACGATTCAATTGGGTTTGAATTGATAACGATCATGTTATAAACAAATTAAGAAACAGCAAAAATAATTGTTGTTTCTTAATTCTGTTGATTAAGAAACAACACTTTTTTTAAAAATAATTGTGAAAAAATGTATTAACCGGTATGACCAGGCATGACTACTAAAATAATAAGACACAGAGAGACTCTAACATCAGTAAGTGAGAGGAGCCAAAGGGAGTAGATTATTCATATGGTCTGCTCCAAGAAAGAAAACAAGACAGAAAACATCTAATATCTTAAGATTAGACGTACGATTAGATGTACGAAGAATCTG